TTTGGCTGGACATTAGGGGGCTTTGTGCAGGAAGCTCATTTGCCCTTAGAGCATAGGCCGTACCCTGTGCCCTTTCTAGCACTAGGCGCCTTAGTCCATGTGTCCCCCCTCCCCCTGGCTTCAAGGAGGGAATGAAGTGATCCAGGAAAGAAGCGTGCCTTGCACTGTCCGTGAGTGATGGAACTATGGATGGTCCTTCTTCCTGTTCTTCCTTTCTCTGCCAAACTCTCTTCTTGAGTTCTCAATGGAAACATGGGTTATTTTTGTTTTTCTAAGTTGCAAATACGTTAAAAAAAAAAAAAGATACCCAAGCTGACTGGTTCACTGAGACCCCTTAACATGGGGGGTATTGGCACTTTTTCTTGTCTTGTGTGAATATGTAGAGCAGACATTATGAGAATTTATTTTGATTGTCATCAAGCCTTTATTACCAATTTCACTTTATTTTTTAATTTTTATTTTTTTTCTTTTTAAAAGATTTTATTCACTTTATTTTTTTAAAAGATTTTAGTTATTTGTCAGAGAGGGCACAAGCAGGGAGAGCAGCAGGCAGAGGGAGAAGCAGGTCCCTTGCTGAGCAGGGAGACCGGCCCCCAACACGGGGCTCGATCCCAGGACCCCGGGATCATGACCTGAGCCGAAGGCAGATTCCTAACCGACTGAGCCACCCAGGCGCCCCCCAGTTTCACTGTATTTACAGCACTAAAAAGGCAACAAGTATTTCCTCTGTTTGCATTTGACAAATTTAATATTTGGGTCTTTCCTGAAGATTTTCCCACTAGTCTAGTCCAGTTTAGCTATTTTCAGTTTCATTTAAAAGAAACTGAGGCCTAGTTCATGGGCTATTTTCATTCCCCAGCACTAGCTCAGTTCTTGAAACTTAGATCTTTGTTGAATGAATGACTCCGGCTCACCACGAGCCGCTGACAATGGCGGGTCGTCCCCTCTTCCCAATTTTAAATTCACAGAAGACCACTGTCGCTGAGCCAATAACTTCTGGGCTCCTTTCTTCCCGTCTCCTCCGTCTCTTAGCCTGGGTATGGCTGGTGTGACTCGGGAGGTCATTTGGGCCCAGGAAAAGTGGCTGATTATGGTGCCACATTGAGTCGTGGGGCCAAATTCTGGTCGTAAAAGAACAAATGTCACTGTTTTTCGGGAGGATGTTTCTTGTGTGAGCCTTGAAGGCTGGGAGCTGGTTCTGTTACTCTTGTGAAATCACCAGTCATGGATTTCCTTTGTGCCCCTTGACCCATCTTGACCACCCTGCCCGCTCACAGGCAGGAAGCCCCTCTCCTGGGCGCCCGTGTGGAGCCCATCTCCCTGTAAGCCCCTTTCTAACTTGTCCCGCACCCGATGGAGGAGAGCACTCCCATTCTTGCTTTCTTGGTATTTTCATAGCAATTTACTCATAATACCCACAAACTGCTCAGTATGTGTCATGTACTGTAATGGGAAGAACTTGCGTTTTAGAACCACAGAACCTGGTCCTGAGTCATGATCTTACCATTTGTCATCGTTTAAAACCTTCAGCAAGTTACTTCACCTTCAGTTTCTCATCTGTGAAAAGGGAGGAAGAATGCCTACCTCATGGGACTCTTATGAAAAATGAATGGGATTGTGGAATATAGCTGAAATTTGCACCTGGAGGGAAATTTATAGCTTTAAATGCACTTACGAGAAGAGAAGACAGGGCAGAAAAGTAATGAGCTATGTGTGCTTCCATGTCCGGAGTTAGAGAAAGAACAACTTGAAGCCAAAGGTGATAAAAGGGAAGAAATTAATAAAGGGAAAAATCAAGGAAAAAGAAGACAAATATTCAATAGACACTTGAAAGAGAGCAAACTAAAAGTGGATTCTTTGAAAAATAAAAATACAAATTGATAAATCTCTGATGAGACTGATCAAGACAAAAGGCACCAAAACCTAATGTCAAGAATGAAAAGGGGGCACGACTACGGGTCTCCCTCAGTCTTTAAAATGATCTTAGGAGAATAGTATGAACAGTTCTATGCCAATAAATTTGAAAAAAAATCACCTGGATTCCCTGGAAAACCACAACGGTACAAAATCAACACACAAAGAAATAGAAAATATGTGAATGGTCTTTTCCCTTTTAACCAGAATCTGTGATTAAAAGTGCTTAAAGGAAGCTCCAGGCCCAGGTGACTTCACTGACAAATTCTGCCAAACATTTAAGGAAAAATTAAGCCAAGCTTAATGTAAACATCCATTTGTGATAAAAGCTCTTAGTAGAATTGTAGTAGAAAAAAACTTTCTAACCTATGGGGCACCTGGGTGGCTCAGTCCTCAAGCGTCTGCCTTCGGCTCAGGTCATGATCCCAGGGTCCTAGGATGGAGCCCTGCATCGGGCTCCCTGCTCAGCGGGGATCCTGCTTCTCCCTCTCCCACTCCCCCTGCTTGTGATCCCTCTCTCGCTCGCTCGCTCTCTGTCAAAAAATAAATAAAAATCTTAAAAAAAAAAAAAAAACTTTCTAACCTAAAAAGTGATATTTTAAAATACTGTATAGCAAACATCACGCTTCACGGTGAAATGTTGAAAGCTCTGTCCTCGAGGCCTGGGTCAGCTTGGCACTGGTACAGCTGTCACCTTGGGGACTGTCGCAGTTGCTGAGCACAGTGCTGGGGTGGCTACAGCGCCCCAGACTGAGAGAGTGTTACCACGTAGGGTATGTCCCACCATGGGACTTGGGCAAGGAAAGCTGGACTTTCCTTGGTCCTACTGGTCAGCCAGGAGCATGCCTCGCCTCTGCAGCTCCAGAGTTAACTTGGTTTTGTTACTCTTTCTCCTAGGAGTTGAGTTTGTCTTTTTGTGCTGAGCCCAGGGACAACCTCTTCTTGGCTCCTGGCACTTAGTGGGCTCTTAATAAATCTTATGCAGAACAGACCATCTATTTGTGTCTAAACCATGGCTGAATCCCAGCAGAAAACGAATCCCTCTGCCTGAACTCTTCAGGTGTCGAGCTGCTTCTCCGTCCAGAGCAGGCACCTGCTCCTCCCTGCACCTGCTCCCTGCCGCTGTTCCCAGAGCTGACTAGGCAGCCCAGCCAGTGGCTCGATTGGGCCACTTGGAGACTCACTTGAGCCCAAAGCCCAGATATTTCCTGAGGAGCCTGGAGCAGAGACAGCTGCTCTGGGTAGAAGACTTTTTGTCACTGCAAATGTGGGCTGGCGTGCTCCCAGGGGGGCCCTGGACAAGAGCATAGGATTGCTTAGAGAAGGGGGTGCTGTGAAATGTGGCCCCAGGGCCCAACCAGAGCGGCCTGTTGGCCTTTGTGATATCCTGGAGTTACAGTGACATGCCTCCCTGTGATGATGGAGCAGAGGTCCAGACAGCCTGCTGGCAGGAAGAGTGTGCATGTGGTGCCCGGGCAATTGCCTGGTTATAGTGTGCGTGCCGTTGGGGCACTTGGCTTTGAAGTACTGTCATCCGCTCTTTGAATTTATTGGCCATACAGTGCTGTGTTCAACTTTAGAAGCTGTCACATCCATCAGATTAAACCCTTTTAAGAGCAACTAGATCTTAGGTTGTAAGACACCAGATTTATTTAAACTTCAGATAGTTTTTAGAAAACCTCTTGGTATGATGGAGAGAACATTACCTTAAAACAAACTTGTCAAATGTTGTCTCTGCCATTCATTACTTGGATGACCATGGGCAAGTTACTTAACCTCCCCGAGCATCAGTTTTCTCAACTAGAGAGATAAAGGGAATGATAGTGATAATAATTACTATCTAATGACAATTACATTATAATTTACCATGTCCACCCCTGCATGTCTGGCCTCATTTGACCCTCACTATAATTCTGTGATGTGTATTTCAGATTCATCGCTCTTTTATAGATAAGGCCATTGAGGCGCAGAGAGGTTAAGTAACTTGCCCACTGTTGCCCAGCTAGTGAGTAATAGGTCTGGGATTGGAGCCTGTGTTCCTGTTCCTTACCATGCTTCTAGACTGTCTCATAGGGAATTGTGAGAAATGTGATCACATATGGAAAAGTACCTAGAACAAAGTCTTGTACCTTGTAGGTGTAACAGCGTGGATCACTCTGCCCACCCCACCCTACCTGGGCAAAGCTGAGGCTTTGGACTCCTGACCATGGTAATTAGGGAAGTTCCAGATCTCTGGCTGTGTGACCTGAACACAGGGTGATGGAAAGGAAGGTGGACTTTTCACCAAGAAGTCAGGGAGTCTCATGTGGCTGTGGATGGGTCATTGTATCACAATGATTTGTGCTCATCAATGTCACAGGGGGTCCTTCAGCTTCCTCCCTCTACAAAGAGATTAATCACCCCTTTACCCTTGCCTGGATTTAGAACATTGCCTCATGACCCAGAAATGATCCCTTTTGCTTATTTGTCTTTACTCTCTCTAGCTGACCCTCACACAGTATCTGAATAAACTGGTCTGAATTTGGGGCTTCGGTGGCTGAGGTGAATCAGTGATGGGTTGGGGGAAAGACAATGCCCAACACAAGTGAAACATGGGGGAAGCTGGGGGTGGAGCCAGGTGTCCAGAGTGGATCACTTCCTCTCGTGTCTTACCACAGGGCCTGGTTCTGCCAGGTGGGTAGGACAGGGAGGGGCCCGGCGAGCCCAGAGATGCAGGGATTCTGCCCGTGTTCGCGTGTTCGCATGTTCTCCTCACATGTGCTCTGTCTTCTCTCCACGGGACGAGGAAGATTGTTTAGTAAGGTTATCAGTCTGTTGGTCTAAGAACATGCACTGTTCTCCAGAAAGCTCTTTGAGCTCTTCAGTAAGATGTTGAGAAGGTTCACTTGTTAATGTGAAACACACATTCACACGCATGTAACATATGCATATATATATGTTATTAATTGACTTTTCTCTCACCTCAAGGGAACATTTGAGACTGTGCTGTACTAAGGCAGTGATGGGAATGGAAGTTGTAGGATGGGGATGGCTTGCTTATTACCTTAGAAATTTAAAAACTGCAACAATGTGCTTTTCTTTTATAGGTTTGTCTGCGGATTTTGAGCATCTGAAGTTGACCTCTGTGTTAAGCATTCGCTGCTGCTCCCTCACTGCCTGAAGAGATGTCTGTCGCTTACGATGATGCCGTTGGAGTGGAAGTGTCCAGCGATAGCTTCTGGGAGGTACTGCCCACGCTCGCGTCCTCATGAATGCAGAGACCAGGCTGATGGCGCCTGACAGGCCTGGCTTCTCTTGGCCAGAATTGGGGGAGAAGATGAGCAGACCCCAAACAGGCCAGGTCTCTGTGGTCCGATCCAGATGGCGGCAGGTGTGGCTAAGCTGTCAGTGTAGGTGGTGAACTTACCTGGCTAGAAAAGAGTGATCAAGAGGCTAGAGGTACTTGTCAGGGTCTTATCAGTCTGTCTGATCTCAGATCTTCCTTCTCATGCTTAGCCGTGACATGACTTGGTGCTGCATACACTTATTACTGGGCTTGGCCGGGGAGGCAGTGTTAACTTCTGACTTGTGTGCAGAAAAGTGGACAGTGGTGATGTGACATCATGCTGGACGGTGCGGGCAGCTGGCCAGAGGGCTGAACAACTGCCCTCAAGCCTGTCGGAGCATCTTCCTGCGAGTCTTGGCCCTCAAGGAACTCCTTTCCTGATTAGATATTGGGGGGGTGGGTTGTGTTTTCTGGAAGTCACTCTTCCTGGGCCCACTTTTTCCTGCCTGCTGCTTAAAGGAAAGTCCATTTTTGTTCTTGTGGCTAAAATCTCTGGGGGCTTAGTGGAAGGAGCACTAGCTTTGCAGTTGGAAAGATCTGGGTTCTGATCCCAGCTGTTCCCTTGCTAGCTGTGTGACTTTGGGCAAGTTGCTTGACTGATCTGAGCCTCAGGTCTTCATCTCTAGAGGGGGTGATACTGGCCTTCGAGGGAAGCTGCAGGATGAAATGAGAGTATACACATCAGCACCCACATGGGTGCTTTCCTGACCCCAGACGCCCGAGCAACGCACGAGTTGGGGAGGATTCTCAGGGTTTGCTGGGGACTAGCATGCATTAGTTTTATAAACTTTGATTGATTAGGTGTATAATTTTGTCTGAGAGCAAATACCATGTGATACTATTGTCTAATAGAGACTGTGATCACAGGTGCCCAGTTTTAAAAAAGATGGGCAAGGAACTCAAAATTCTGTTAACACTTTTCGGGGACCTGGGTGGCTCAGTTTGGTTAGGCATCCGACTCTTGGCTCAGGTCATGATCTTGGGGTCATGAGATGGAGCCCTGTGTCGGGCTCTGTGCTCAGTGTGGGAGAGATTCTCTCTCTCCCTCTTTCTTTCTCTCAAATAAATAAAAAAAATTTTTTTAAAGATTTTATTTATTTATTTAATTGACAGAGAGAGAGAGAGAACACCAGCAGGGGGAGCGGGAGAGGGAGAAGCAGGCTTCCCGCCGAGGAGGGAGCGCGATGTGGGGCTCGATCCCAGGACCCTGGGATCATGACCTGAGCCGAAGGCAGACGCTTAACCGACTGAGCCACCCAGGCGCCCCAGAATTTTTTTGTTTTTAAGATTTCTATTTATTTGAGGGGTGCCTGGGTGGCTCAGTCGGTTAAGCGTCTGCCTTCGGCTCAGGTCATGATCCCAGGGTCCTGGGATCGAGCCCCACATCGCGCTCCCTCCTCGGCGGGAAGCCTGCTTCTCCCTCTCCCGCTCCCCCTGCCGGTGTTCCTCTCTCGCTGTCTCTGTCAAATAAATAAATAAAATCTTTAAAAAAAAAAAAATTCTGTTAACACTTTTCTTAAAGTTGGGCAGAAGGTCATTATCGATTTTTAGCTGAATACTTCATTTTATTAAAAGGATGTGTTTCATGAGCAGCTACTATGTGCTAGGTCCTTTGAGGCTCCAGTGGGACGTGTGACAACCCGAGTCCTTACCACTCGGCTGGTAGCGGCCTTCCTGGTGGGTATCCAGGCCGGAGCTCAAATTTCAGTAGCCAGAGAGATGCATCTGTCCCGGGAAACATTCCACAGAAGGCAGCAAAAGTGACAGGGTGGCGATAGAGTCACGGTTGGGTTCCAGCCACCGCAGCAGTGGCTCCCTGGCATTGTTAGGCACATTCTCACGGCCCAAGGGTGTTGGGGGGGTGTTGGCGGGGTGTTGGCGGGGTTGGGGGTGAAATACCCGGAGCTGTGTTGGAACTGGCAGTTACAAGATACAGTTTGGAGGTGCCTCTGGGACAGTGCTGAAACTCAGGACTACCCCTCAGCCTCCATGTGCAGGTTCAGGTTCACGGGCAGACGGGCCTAGCTTGCTTGCCCCCAGGGAGGCTGTGGCCTTGCCAGCATTGCAGAAGCACTTGCGGAGCCAGCCATGGCTGTGCAGCTCCTTCCTGTGAGCTCCTGGGAGGCTGGCCTTTGGAAAAGCAGGTCCTTGCTAGTTTCAACACTGAACCAAAACTAGCTAAAATCCTTTAGAGTTGTGGGAAAACTTTCTCTTTGTAGCTGCAGTGACATTACCATCTGGTACTAATTGGTACCCGCCTTGAGCTAGATGGTGGTATGGAGGCTGGACACACAGCGGGCCTTGTGAGCGATAGGCCAGGAGAGGCAACCGGACAGGTTCAGATGTGTCCTTTGGAGCCAGATGGCCTGGGCTTGACTCCATGCCGGGGGGTGGGGGTGGGGCACTACTTTGGGCAAGTTACTAATTTTTCTTTGCCTCAATTTCCCAATCTGTAAAGTGGGGGTAAAAAAGGTACCTATATCCTGGTATTGTGAGGATTTCAGGAATGAACATGTGTAAAGTGGTGTAGGGCATCAGGATAGCTCTGTCCCTCTGATGTGGGAGCTGGAGGTCATCACACGCATAGCACATCATCTGTGCCTGCAGGGTGCATTCGGCAGCATCATTTGAATTACCCAGTTGAGGGCAGAAACTGCTCTGGAGAAATTAGGTAGCTAAATATAGTGCTATTACAGAAGTCTTTAGTTGCTGCTTAAAAAAAAAAAAAAGAAGAAGTTGCCAGCATATGTTAAATCAAGTGGCTTTAACAAGTCCTGTCGCTGATTTAAGCTCTCAGGCTCCCTGTTAAATTCTTAGCCGCGAGAATGTCAGTGGACAAGAACATCTCCTTTTGCCTGAGGAATGCTAAGGCCAGTGGTTTATTTTCTAGTCAGGCCCCGCTCATCTTTTGATGCTCTCTCTGAAATTACTCTTCAGCTTGTAGAAATCAGCAGTGCTGTCATCTTCCTCCTCCCTGATGGCTGCTCATTGAACGGAGGAGCGATTCCTCAGGGGGAACCCACCCCATTCGGCTGTGAGTGACTTGGGTGCACGCTGCCAGCCGCGCATCTCTCCATGCTGTCAGCAGGGTCCCTCTTTCCCATGGGAGATGTCTTCTTACTGATGTGACCCACAGACCTGTACAGATCTACAGAAAGCCTTGTGGTCTTGAGCTGGAAAAGTCCTTGGGCTTAGTTTTCCTCCTTTCCACTGAAAGGTACTTACCGGAATGGGTCATCTTTTGCATGCTGGTTATGTGCCTGCACAGGAGGGACATGACCCTGTCCTCCAGGAGCCTTTGGCTGTGACATTTGGAGGTAAGCTCTCATGGGAGGAGACTGACACCAGACAGATCATTGTGTAGAGCGCTGTAAGATTTGCTGGGGGTGGGGCACAGCAGGAAGTGGGGCTCCCGCTTGGGGGTGGGGCAGGCAAGTGCATTGGAAGATGAGCAGGATGTGTTTGCTAGATGAATGAGTGAGCAGGTCCTGGGAGGAGAGATCACCCACAGGGACTAATATCAAATGGAAGTGTTTGTAGGTATTTGGAGGGAACACTTTCTGTATTACCCAACACTTAGAGTAAGCTGTTTAGAAGAGAGAAGTGGGCTCTGATTCCCACCGTGAAGGCTCTTGGAGGAGAGAAGACGATGGCCCCCATGAAGGGGGAGTGGTCAGTGGAGCCAAGCCACAGTCTGCCTCTGAGTGTCATGGCGTTCAGAGGAGAAGGACCGGCTCCCTGGCATCACCAGAGAAGGCGTGTGGGGTAGATGGGGCTGGACTTTGAGATGGGATGGCATTCTGAGTTGGAGCAAAGTCTGGAAGCCAGAATGAGCACAGCCTTGCAGAGGGCTGAAGACCTCAAATTCTTTGGAGCCCAGGGCTGTTTTGGAGGCCAAAAGTCATGTGGGATTGGGTAGGTTGGGACCGAGGGGAGGCTGCTCCCCAAGTGGGTGACTTCTTCAAGTTGGAGCCTGGCGTGTTCTCGCAGGCTTCCCAGCGTGGGGTAGGGCAGCTCAGTTACTTCTGGCAAGTCTTCTGGCTCACTCCAGGAGCCTGAGGGCCCTCCTACTGTGTCCTCGGCTTCTAGGCCCTGAGTCTGGGTTTTCTCATAGGCCCTGGGGCCTGGTGTACAGAGAGAGCCTAGGCTGCAGGTTGTGGGGCTTTTCAGGTGTCACCAGGGCTTCCTAGGAGAGCCTGGCCTCCTCTGCCTTCCGTGGGCTCTGGGCACACAACGGTGGGTTTGTCGCCAGCAGGCCTGCTGCTGCGTGAGTCTCCGAGGCCTCCTTGGTGGCCAGACTGGGAGGGCAAACTGCTAATTTCAGGAACTGGGTCCTGAATCTGCCTCATCCCCGAGGCAGGGGTTCTGCTCAGCTGTCAGCCATATGTGCGGTTAGAGCTCAGATCTCCCTGGAGAAGCCTGGCTGGGGCTGACCTGTACTGCACTCTCTGTGGGCACAAAGAGCCTTTGAGGAGAAGAGTATTTGGGGGATGAAGAGAACATAAATATCTTGCTGAAAATGTTCTAAGAATCTTAGCCCTAAAGAATTAGCATGTGACTCTCGGTATTTAGCATCGCCTTCAGAGAAGGCTCTCCCTGCAAGCTTCCTGTCCGACTGTGGAGACAGAGTATCACAAGAGAACATCTCCACCTGGAGCGCGGTTCTGTCTGAAAGCCGTCCACATGGAATGGCATGCACTTTTCCCATCCCTCTAGAACAATTTTGTAGGTAACATATTTAGAAGATGCCACTGCCCTGTGTGTGTGGGTTCCATGGAGCCTGATTTGGCACCTGCCATGGTCCAGACCCATGGCTGAGTCCTGGGGTCCCAAGATGAGTACCTAGTCTTAAGACCCCAGAGCCAACATTTGCTGTGTTGGGCAGTTACAGGGCAGCAA